CTGCTCTCCAGCTTCCCATTCAGTAATGCAGCAAAATGCTGTGCAATGGGGCAGAAATTTGTTGGCAAAAGCCATGAATTATTCACACAGCCCTCAAAGCTTTTTCAGTTTGGGGAAGTGGCATCTCTTAAGCATTTTAGTAATGCAGCAGATCAACCCCCAGGACAACCAAAAAAATGATCCATGAAAAAAAATAAATTAAAAAAGTAAAAAAATGCTGGTTTAGAGAGATGAAGGGGTTCACAAAAAGATACTTCTCGTTACCATTTAGAGCAGCCAGGTGCAGAAAGTAGCAAGATCAAACTGGCCTGCTGGAAGATTCAGCTCTTAAAATGCTACCCTACCAGATCACTGTGGACCAAACCCAAATGTTTCAAAGCACACAGCTAATGAAACCCAGCAGCTTCAAGCTCATCATCACTGCACGCTAATGAGGTGAAATTCACTGCTGTGTGGAATGAAACAGAAAAAAGCTCTACCCAGCCCTGCAAAGCAGTTCATAGATGCTTGCTAAGCCTCCTCACTGGTTGGCCCACCCAGCAAGGCCATTTAGGAGTAACAGGACTGGGTATGTCCTCAGCAGAGTGGTTCAGATCTCTCTACACATGAACGGAGCTGGAAGCTCCAGGTACTTCAAGAGGCGAGATGTTCGAGGTCGTTTGGAGAGGGATGGTTCTATCAAGCAGGGGGTTGGACTAGATTGCTTCCCAAGACCTTTTCTAGCCCAACTTCCCTATGGTTCTCAGCTCAGGGTTTTAGTGGCTCCCTCCCAGAGTTGCTCTCTATTACCTAGCTTGATGAATCTAACCACTACAACATCCTTGACACAAACTCTCTAGTCATTTCTGTTGTGGCGACAAAAAAAACCCACAACGTTTCATCGTAGTAGCTAGGGTCAGGAGGGACCTGAACAGATCATCTAGCCTGCCCCCCTGCTACAGGCTCGGTTCACAAGACCCCAGACAGGTGATCGCCCAACCTCCTCTTGAATATGCGCAAGGTAGGGGCGAGGACCACTTCCCTGGGAAGTTGGTTCCACATTTTGGCCACCCTAACTGTAAAATATTGCCTTCTGATTTCTTACTTAAACCTATTCTCCATCAGCTTATGACCATTGTTCCTCATCATTCCAGGTGGTGCTGGGGAGAAAAGAAGATTTATCAACCTGATTATTCTTCATTACTCATACTCTCCAAACAACCTATCTATGGATTATTTGATTTACAGATTTCTAACATTTCAAACAAAGCCATCAGCATGGCATTTAATAACTGGATACAACAAACAAGGTATGTTGTAGGGCTGTGCGAAACAGCACCGTTTCAAAGGGACGGCATTTCATTTCGCTGTTTCAAAGCACTGTTCCGTTTTGTCGAAACTGTTTTGGCACGTTTCAATATTTTGCCCATAGGCTATAATGGGGAAATCACAAAAATGCCTATAGCTTTGTCATTTGTTGCCCAATTCAGATGAAAATTGCAGGGATCTCAAGGAGATAGATGCAGGGGTGTTCGTGAAACTGCACCTCAAGCTGTTCAAAACAAAACTAGTATCACTTGCCAGCAGCAGCAGCTGCCTGCTGTCACCCTGCATGCAGAACCAGGGGCCTCCGCCCACCGGGAAGAGTCCGGCACAGCCCTGCAGCCCTCTTGGGGGCGCGGACCCTTGGATCCGTGTGCGAGATGACAGCATGCTGCTGCTGCCGGCTGGGACCAGTGCCAGCACTGGGTTCTTCCTGGTGCTCAATGCAGGCTGCGCCGGGCAGACTCGGGTGCTGGCACCGGCCCCAGCTGGCAGCAGCAGCATGCTGTCATCCACATGCTCCGCAGCTGGTGATTATAGAGCTTTTAAAAAAAAGCCCTGCAAATCACTGGCTCTGGCACCAGCGGTTGGGGCCTGGCACCTGCATCTCAACAGCACCATGGTGCAGGTGCAGCACAGCTCGGCAGGGTGCTGCGCTGCCCGGGAAGAGCTGGGGGAAAGCAATCAGAGAGCTGGGGGGAATGAATTGAGCCTGCTGGATGATTTGTTTAGGTCCCTTCCGATCCCAAGTACTATGATGATATTATGAAACCCCATGCACATATCTGGGGGCCTGTGCCCCCTGCGAAGAGCTGGGGAAATTCAGAGAACTGGGGAAATCAAACCAGGAGGTAGATGCCCATATCAGAGCAGTCCTTCCCCACACTTCCCCTCCCTCTCCTTAGTTTCTGTTTAGCTGCAAGCAAGTCAGCTTCAAAACTTGAAACATTTCGAGTGCCCTCATTTAATTTCAAAGTTGTTTCGAAGCCTTTCATTTCTATTTCGCTATTTTGAGTTCAAAAAAGAGTCGAAACAGCTTTGAAATGAAACACCCATTGAAGTTTTACACAGGCTTACTACGTTGCCTGAATCAATGACTTCAACTGTTCCCGGATTCGAGAGGCAAGTCTTGATTTCTCATCTGTCCGCACATCTGTCCAATACTGGATTGACTACAACCCTTGGTAGCAAGCACACCTTTCAAGAAGTTTTATCCTAGGCTCCATCAACTGAACAGCCCACCTAGAACACCAGTATCTCATTGAGCTGTGATTGGAAAGGCAATATTCAACACCCCCTCTCTCTGTTACTTATATGCCAGTGTGAAACCCCAGTGTGGTCCCATGGCCAGCGCCGACAACCAGCCGATTGCTGACCCCACCCCTGGAGGCACCTGACTTTCAACTACCTGGTGAAGGGAAAGCCCAGGATCATGATACTGGTCTCCACTTGCACTGGCAAGTAGAAAGGACAGGATGCATATATGGAATGGCAGAAGACATGATTATTGGAATCAGATCCCATGGCAACTTTAAACAAACATGTGCCAGGAGACCCAAGTTGCAGCCCATTAAATGGTTTAAAGCTTTAGACTACAATTTATTTCTAATTCAGTATGTATGTACTCTAGAAAATGAAAGCAACAACCGGTTTCTAAGAAATAAATTAACATGACTTGGAGAAATTCATTCCACAGTACTCTGAGGAAATAAGTTTCATAATTGTCATGCTTAGCACCACCGCAAATAGGACAAGCATTAAAATGGAAAGGTTTTAATAACTGAGCATGCATAGAAAAGAGCTGTTACTTGGGCAGGCACTTTCTGTATTCCATTCCCTTTTATTTCTGATACTTATGGCTTTGAATAAGCATCATAAACCATGTTCTCCTTTCAATTCATCCTGCAGCAAGGTTGTAATCTGGGGTTTCTGACAGCCTACTGTTTTGAAAATCATTTGGATGTCACTAACAGACTATCATAATTTCCTCAAGGGCTGAGTCAGAGAAGGCAAGTTGTGAAGAAGAAAACCCTTGTTTTGAACAAATCTCTTTGAGAATCAGACACAGTGGGAAGAGAATGTATTTAAAGAGACTAAAATATATGCCAAGAACATGTGGTAATTCGTGCTCATTCAGAGGATAAATCTGAAGTTCTGCCACCAAGGCAATAACACACTTACAGTTTCATCTTCAAGTTTTAGGCGCAGGCTTTTGTCTCCCTCTTTGTAATCCTTGATAATTTCTGCTGATCTCCAGACTTCATCAGGGTCAGGAATCCAAACCCTTGTGTACTGGGAAAAACACAAAATGAAAACAAATCACGAAATGATGCCGATCTGAAATATCTACCCACTAGGGCTCCAACCATGTCAAAAAGGAGGGAGGTAGATGTGGGAAATGCAACTTTTGCCCCAGGTGCAGCTGCAGCCACCATCCTCCACAGGCAGATCATGCCACACAAGCAGCTGCTGAGGACTTGGGAGTCCCTGAAGTAGGCATGATGCCCCTGCCCTGCTCTGCTACCCCCAGAACAACACTAGCTGGGGCCTGTGGCGCGCAGCTGCACAGGGTGCTGGACTGGGG